GCTTTAACAGATGTAATAGATTATACATAATTAACATCTTAAAACATCCAAGTTTGTTACAAATTAATATAAGAAATAAACTTTCTCATGAGTATATATTGCCAACTCAAAAATTTCAACTTCTTGCTTTTGTTCTGGTGTATCCTTTCCAACTCACCGAGTGCTACAAACAAAAAATTATTGCTTTTTCCTAAAACATATAAATTAATTTTTATGAGAAGGATATAGAGAAAGATTAAAACTTACTCTAGAGATACTTGTGTTTGGCTGCTAAAGGTTCCTCAATATAAGAAAAACACCAAATACTAGAAGGGAATTCTATTAGACGTATGGTTTGAGTTCAAATGAAGCCATGCTCACTTTGAAGAGGAAAGGACGAAAAAAGAAGAAGAAGAAATAAGCCAATGAGATGGTTGAAATAGCGCCAATGAGAAGGACCAATTAGATCAATGAAATGACTTTTACAAGATTTGTAGAATAAGTATGACAGACAGACAAACAGATGGATATTTCATTAAATTTTAAATGATTCATATAAAAATTGTGCTAAAAACATTTGTATAGTTATGAACAAGAAGACTAAATACATATAATGTTTTATTATCCAAATTAAAAAAAAAAAAGCTATTCAAAGAAGACTAAGGTGATGTTTCAAAATTCAATTGCTAAAATTGCAATAACCTATGGCAGAATTAAAGTCGTGGTGCTGTGTGAGTGTGTAAATGGTTTGTGTCATTGATGAAAAAATAGATTAATTTCTTTCTTCTTTTGGACGGACCCCATATTGATTCATTGTTTTCTTTTGGAATATGAAATTTGATATTTGGACCCCTTGTGAGCCATGCAAATAAAGGAATAATGAAACTTGTGCGAACGAAGTTTATAAGGAAAAAAAAATGAAATAAAGTACCCAAGGTTTTTCTGTTATTTTCTTGAACTGAAATAAAACCTTTTCAAATTTCCCTAAAATTGGAAAAAATATATTTCTATTTTTTAAAACCTACAGAAGCCTCCTATAAACTAAATATTGAATTACACAAGTTTTTCTGAGTTTTTCAAATTATATTAACGCATAACGTACTTTTAGAATATATACAAACCTCCCACAATAATAAAGGAAGATCTGTATATTTTCAAATTAAATATCTTTAAGAAAGATCTGTGCAATTTATTTTTTATTTTATAATAAATATTTTATCTATTTTAAAAATAAAAGAAAAATTTGTAAAGTTTAAAAATCTAAAGAAAGTATTTGTCCTTCTTTTATTTTTAAGTAGTTCCATAATAATAATAATAATAATAATAATATATAAATAATATGGCTCAGGTTAATCAATAATATCATATTAATGAGTATTAAGTTTAACAGAAGAGGTTAGTTTTTTACGAGATGTCAATTTAAGATTTGAATCTCAATTACGAGAGGTAGTATTTGACAATATCTTGAACATGATTGCCTCTAATAGAAACATGCATATGCATATTAAAAAGGGATTAAAGCATACATCCATCTAAATTTGCATCAAGTTTTAAGAGAAAGTCAATAATATTAGACTAAAGAGGGTTGGTTTTAGAGAAAGAAGTTAATCTTTCACAATATAACAAATCAAAATTTGAGTCTCCATTATAAAAGATAATGCTCCACCATATTTTGAACATGATTATCTCTAATAGGATGATGCATACACATATAAAAAAGAGGATAAAGTATATATTTGATCATCTATATTAAGACCAAGTTTCAGTTTAATTTGTTAAAATTAAAAAGTATATTTGCAGTCTTTTAATACCATTAGTCTAAAACATTAATAATATGTGATTTATACAAAATTTAAACATTTTTGTATCTTATATACAAATATATATGTACTACTAATTGATTGCTGTAACTATTTCTTATTTTTTATCTTAAACTTATAAAAATGAGAATATTATAATTTTAGAAGTTGCAACTTTTTATAGCAGCCCCTCAATGCATGTACCAGAGGAGGGACCAGACCCTCTGAGCAAAAGGAGAGAAATCATTATGCTCCTACCCAACAACCTAAAGAAAATAATAAATTTAAAAATTTGAACGCATACTTTAATTGACTAAAATACATATGAATTTGTCCCTTTTTTTTTGCCAACAACATATGAATTTTTCTAAAGTGTCCGAATCAAGATATATTCTTTTCAAAATTAAAGTTTATTTTGAGTTGTTGGTGATTTATTTTGGGTAGATATACTGATGAAAATTAATGGTGTACACATTAATAGAATTAGATTTATAGGATTGAATTAATTATTATTTAATGCTCTGGTCTGTATGGTTCTGTCATTTGGTCCAATACCATCAGAGTTTTCTCAACGATCAACATTTTATTTTATATTAATATTTGATTCGTGCAGAATTATTAAAATAATATATATAGTTGATATCGTATAGAAACGAATTAGCATTCCATGAAATATAAAAAAGGAAACAGATCGATAGAATTCCTTTAGAATTTAATTCAGGATTAAGGATATTTTTGTCATGAAAATATTCGCGAAGGAGCTGAAAGTATTTAGAAGTTTTTTTTTTTTAAATTTTTACCCAATATCACCGTGAGAGTGTTAAAAAGTGAGTAATATTACTCTTATGGTTACAAAATACAAATAGTCTACATTAGTTTTTCGGCAATTAGGGTGGCATTACTGCTTTTTTTAACACTTCTAAGGTGATATTGACTCTAAAAGAGTTTTGGATACCCACATATCTTTTTCGTGAATAGTTTCAAGACAAAATTACTCCTTAAACGTTTAATATGTCTTACATTATTAATCTTTTTATATTTATTGAGATGATTTGAATCTTTGAGTTTGACCTCCCTTTCATCCCACCCCATCCTTAACATGCATGGAGCTCAAAAGGAAGTTAAATAGGTTCTGTTTACTGTTTTAAAAGTTAGACCAGATATTGAACTAGAAAAACTAGCGATCCACGATTCTTATGTATAATAGGTTAGAATAGGGCCGGGGTTGAACCGATGCAACATAATTAAATAAAATTTTAATAAAAATAATTATAACATAATATATATAAAAAATAAATTTACAATAATCTAATTGTCAACATAACAACACCACAATGTAAAATGTTAGTGAAATACTCCTCTGATTCTATTTATAAGTCACTTTCAACATGTTTCACATAGACCAAGAAAAATCTTAAACTTCATTAATTTTCATTTCAAATTCAACAACATTTCAACTTTATCCCTATTTAATATATATTATACCTTATGTAAATAAAATGAACATAATAATAAATGAAAGGTAAAATTGTACATCTATATAAAAAATTTCTCTTAGTGCCCTATAAATAGGACTAAAAAATATCTTTTCTCTCTGCCCTATAAATAGGACCAGAGGAGTAACATCATAGAGCTCTACAGATGGTCTGGAAATCCCACTCCAATTGCCATTATAAAGCATCTCTAATCATTTTGCTAAAACCAGAGAGATGGTTAAGTCATTAAATTTGCTTTAAAATATTTCCCCCCTAATTTTTCCTTATTTAAAAATCATGAATTACACATTGAAAAGTGAAAAAAGGGTGCATCAAATTTTAAATACGGGCACTCTTAAAAAAATGTAATTATTAATATCTCACTTAATGACTTGTAATAATGACTAACTCATTCTTTCTGGAAAAAAATCCCTTATAATAGAAATCAGAGTGGCATATTAGGTACTTTCTTGGAAGGGTAAATTTTGTATAAGTTCTTTCAAAAAATTTGTCAACCCAAAAAACCGTCCAATTTTTTAAAAAAATTGTTCCAATTTCTGGTCTAATTCTAGGTTTTGACTCAAGGTCGACAAGAATCCGATCCAACTCAACCATAAAAACAATTTTATTGTCCAAAATGAGTTGTTAGCAAGTTTTATCGAGATTCAGCCCAAATTGCTAGAAAGTCATAACCCATTGACTTCTTATAAATTTAAATATGCATATATATATATATAGATATATATCTGTGTGTGTGTAGTTATTTACAGATAATAGATTATACGAAAATATGTCACTATGTACTCCAATCAAATATTTTAATACATCATCCACATTATGGTAATATATATTTAAGGAACCAAACTGACATATGAAAGGTATATAAAACTTTCAATAATCAAAATGTAAGTCTAAAATTTAAGACGAAAATCCAAAACGCAGAAAAAATTATGGAAAGAGGCTAAGAGATTAGATTACAAGATTTTGGTAGCATGTCCGAGAGGAGGGGTGTGTGTGTGTGTGCTCATTTAACTTTCTACAAAAAAAATAAATTTTATAATATTTATGTTAGGTTTCATCTCTTTCTAACACAAGCCACACTTATGAAATGGTGATTTAAAATTTCTCATTTTAAAATTTTTATTTGTTATATTACCTCTTATCATTAACATAAGATTTAGTTTACAGTCCAGCAGAGGTAATACATAGATTTATTATTTTTATTATTAGCTAATCCTTATTTAGGGAGAAGTAAAGTGTGCCTTCAAATGGTTCTTTTTTATCTTTTATTTTTTGAAAAATGTTATCCTCCCCTCTCCTAGCTGTAATTATTAAAATAGTATATAAATATTTTGCAGGATTTAGATAAACAAGTCATCCGCCTAAACGCATGCCGTGTTCCTTCCTCTGACAGAGACTCTCAAGAGGGAGGGGGGAGAGAGAGAGTGACCACGGAAATTTGCGCGTGGGATTGGAACTTGCCCCACATGGAACCCCCCAAACATCTCATGATATCTGCCAAAGGAAATCATCTGCGCGTGTATCCCACGCTCCATGATTGAACGTGGGGGAAGTTGCGATTCAAATAATGCAAGCAGGTGGGGCTGTCTTCTATATAATTCATGTCGGAGCCCCTTTCCTCTTTTTCCCATTTCCCCTTCTCTCTTATCGCCTTTTCCTTTCTCTCTCTTCTCTCTCTGTTTCCCTCCTAATTTTCTCTCTCATTCCCTCTCTTTCTTTCCCTCTTTTATTTTTTGATCTCTGACCTAATTCTCTCTCTACTCTCTACTCTACTCTCCAACCCCTCTCTCTTGATCTCGTTCATTCATCAATATCAACTCCCTCTACACCACCCCCACCCCCCATCCTTTCTCCTCAGAACCAGAGACTTCAAGATCCCTCTAAATCTTGTGGGTCTTTCTCTCTCCCCCTCTCTTCTGCCTCACACCCAAGTAGATCTGTCTCCATACTCACAACTCACTCACAACACTCTTTCTCTCCGACACACACACACACACTCTCACACACAGGAGTAGTTTTGCCAATTGCCATATAGCTGACAACTACTCTAATTAGAGAGCATAAACAAAGATCATCGTCAGTCATCTTCATCGATAGATCGTTCATCTCAGAGACCAGAAGCGCAGAGGAAGAAGAAGAAGATCAGTGTCTTGTGTTCTAGGGTTATCAGACAAAGTAGTATTGTGTGTGATCGTAGAAGAAAAGATTAAGGTTGAAGAGATGACTCCGGCGAATCTGGCAGGCCAGTTTGGTGACACAACATACACAAAGGTCTTTGTAGGAGGCTTGGCTTGGGAGACTCAGAAGGAAACTATGAAGAAATATTTTGAGCAGTTTGGTGAGATCTTGGAGGCCGTCGTCATCACTGACAAAGCTACTGGCAAATCTAAAGGCTATGGATTCGTACGCCTCCTCCTCCTCCTCGTCCTTCTTTCTCTTCAATTTTCATTCACATTATCACATGATCTCAAGTTGTTAGTAATATAATGAGGTTTGGCTCACTTAATGTCCGGATGACCTAGCTAAATTAATGATCAATAAGGAAAAACAAGTGATATTGTTCATAGTTCAATTTGATTATTTATTATCTTCTTCTATTGTGGTGGTGGTGATGATGATGATGAAGAAGAAGGTATTTCCATTTCAGGTAACTTTTCGGGAACCAGAAGCCGCCATGAGAGCTTGTGTGGATGCTGCTCCAGTGATAGATGGCAGAAGGGCTAACTGCAACCTGGCTTCTTTGGGTGTCCAGAGATCCAAGCCATCAACCCCAAAGCACGGTCTGTGTGTGTGTGTGTGTGTGTATGTATATATATCATTTGTTCTCTCTCTCCCCCCCCCCCCCCAATATGCATATCAATGAGTAGTTTTCCAGGGTCTCTAATCATCTGAGTTTGATATGATGGATAAGATCTGAGGCATAAAGCTTTATAAATTCCTCTTATTCAGTTCATCACTGTTCAAAAGATGCTTTCATTCTTCTCGCTCCATTATTCTTGTTCATAGCCAGTTTCATGGATATTCCTTCGCCCCCCCCCCCAACCATACATATATAAACTAAGGCATATATAGCAGCTTCTTGTTGTATTTGAATTGAGTGACTAAGATCAGAATAGATAGATCTAAATCTGAATATATATGGATGATGATCGCTGTCAAAAGTATTGTGCGGTAAGAATGGAAGACAGAAACAAAGCTGTCCTTGTTCCTACTACTGAGTTTGATTAATATGAATGAATATTCCTTTCTTTCCAGAGTGGAAAGTTCCATTCTGTTATCTGCATGTGCATTTATTCCTTTCTCATTTGCTGATTCTCTCATTTTTCACTAACTGATGACATTTCACACGACACACTTCTGTCTTGTTTCATAAAGATTCTCATCAAACTCATCAGACTAATCCCACTCCTCCATATATTGGCATATTTCATTTGCTTGTGCCAACTTGCATTCTTTAGTGTACATAGAACAACGCATCACAGCTGTTTAATCACCTTTTAATTTAAAAGGTTAAGTTAAAGTCAACATTATTCATGATTATATTTTGTCTTTACTAAATTTGAAGGTTAAATCACCTAACCCAGTTAAACAACATGAATATCTATGCTACTCAGACACACTCACATACATCTCATTGTTTTCCCTCTTTAATATATATACATGAGAGACTTGAAGCAAATTTATATGCTAATGGACAAAACAACATTGTATCTTGTCCCGTGGCGTTCTTAGGATTTGGATTCTCCCCATATTCATTTGTTGTTGACAGAGCACAAAAATAATATTATATTGTACTATTTATGTAGCAGATTCTAATTAAGATTTGTTGTTTTCTTATCTCGGAATCTATAGCGTGAATATATATATTCATTTTAGTGAATGTAGAGAAAATAAGCTAATTAAAGAGTGAAATTGATATAATTTGCAGGAGGAGGAGGCAGGAACTTCAGGGTGATGGGTTCGTTTCAGACAGGGTTTGGAGGAGCAGGATCGACTTTTCCTTCTGCAGCGGCAGCAACACTTCCTCATTATGCTCTCCAGCAAGGAACACCCTATAATGTTTATGGGTAAGCCATATATCTCACACATATATATATATATATATATATCAATTAATGCATGCTACTGTATGTGTATGTATACTTCACTACGGTTTCTCTTTCCACTCTCTCTCTCTTCTGGTCTTCCCTGTGAGTCACGTGAGTGTACTGAGATCAATGGGGAATGGCACGTGCATTGACAACTCATAGATGCACAATCAAACCACACACTCACAACAACACATTGTGTGTTATTATTACAAGTTGTGTGTTAGGCTTTATCACTAACACAAGCATGCTATATTGCTAGCTAGCTCATTTCTATATTTTATATATATATTCTTTTTATCATAGAATCAACCTCCACATGATTGTTACAGCTTTTGTTTTGTGCTCTCTCTCTCTCTCTCTCTCTCTCTCACTCTCACACACACACACACACAAGGACAAAGAAAAGTGGAACAGACCCATGTGTAAGTGTTGAAGAGGGTAGTGTGTAGGCTAACTTTGGTGCATGAAATCATTAACAGTTAAATGACAAGGAAACCTCAACACCAAGTTCAATCATTTGGAGCATGAGAAAAACCCCAGAAAAACAATCTCATTGGTTATATAAATATATATATGTTGCTATTTTATTTTATTTTCTAAAGTAGAAAACTATTATTTATGATTACCATCTTCTAGGGTTTATTGACAGGTTGTTCGGCATAATAAGTCCGATGCACCTTTTCCCCCTTTTTTTTAATTTTTAAATTTCATCAATTTCTGTGAATTTCACTTTATCTGCCCTACTATATCTCTACTCTATAATATATATGAGGGTATTAAAGAGAATTTCTGAAGAAGGCGGGATACATGAGATGGAATGGAATGAAAAAGAGCATTATATTTAATGAAAAGGTTTAATTAACAGATAATCAAACGCTAATTGTCTGATTTTGTATGTTTTATTTTTTCAATTAACTTCAATATTTTATGTGCTTAACGAAATGTTTAATTCTTTTTTATGTTGATAATTATTTTCAGGTACTCTCCATACTCACCAGATTACACTTACCCGGTTTGTACCTATCTATCTTCCTCCTCTCCTCTCTAATTTATTCTTCTTTAATAATAATAATAATAATAATAATAATAATAATAATAATAATAATAATAATAATAATAATCATCTCTTTACTAGTTTTTTGTCTGCTTCGTAGCTTTTTATAACTTAGGATGCGTTTTTAAAAACATACCTTTTACGAGACAACAGCTTTTGAATTCTCTTCAAAAACGCTTTTCACTGTGTATTACTGTTTCTTTCTTTCTCTTTTCCACATCTCCAGACAATTGTAGTCCTCAATTCTCAATCAATCAATTATCTTGTCCGATTTATGCTAAAACTCTTTTTCTTTGGACTTCTAAAAAATTTTAAAAATGAAAATATTACTTTCAATTTTAATAAAATTAAAACAAATAATAGTTAGTAATAAAAATCAAACTGAAATATGAAATCAAGCTGCAAATAAAAGGTATAAATTACTTTAAACATGCACTAGATCGAGTAATGCAAAGTATTTACTTTTTAAAATTTTAATTTAATTTAATTTATTTGTAACCCAAAATAAACGTCATTAACCAAAAAAGGTATATCAAAGATATTTTAATATAATCATTTAAATAAAATTTTACTTCATCATGATAACTTGTTTTTTTTTTATCTCAATACAAATTTTTTGATATTTTATAATAAAATTAAATGCATACTTTAAGCTCCTTGCAGGTTATGCTAGTTATGATTGATGTTAAATAGCGAGATTTTTCTAGGATGCAAGTATTGTATATATTGAAATTAATATATTTTAACTATAAATGCTAGCTAGTACGTACAATAATGGGCATAATATCAAATCCATGAAAACTTCAACAACTTGTACCTTGTCCTTCCCTTCCTACATAAAACTTCATTATTGTACCCTCAGTAGCGTTTGTGTTTGGATAATACTATTGAAAGTGATTGTCTCAAAACAATAATAAATCATACTCCTCTAATAACATATATAAGACATCTTTTAGAAAGTAAATATATTTGACAGTTTTAAGAGGTATTAAATATTATATACATATATATATATATACTTATATTTAGCAAAGATAGTGCGTGACACCGAGAGAGAGTAGGATTCAATTTAACATTGGGTTTAATGTAGTAAATAAACATCATATTATAAATCATTTGAATTTTATAATAAATTGAATAATTTTAAATGTTGTCATTAATATATGATTAGAAATAATTTATATTTAAGTTTAGTGGTAGTGTGAATCAACTGAGGAAAAAAATACTAAAGTAGTCAAATCCGTTCTTATATGTACTATTTCCCTTTTTCTTCAAAGCAGCGATGCTTGTGGTCCATTATCCCAATTTCACTTTCCCTCTTTTCCAGTTCAAGTTGGGTTCCGTGCTTTAAATAATATTCTTAATTAATTCTTAACCATCTCTCATTTTCCTTCATGTGGTCCAATGCTCCCGTATATTCCTTTATATTTGCTTTCATATGTGTTAATCTATATTTGTTTTGGTTTAATGTATGACATAAACAATAGTTTGTAGCAAAAAAAAAATTTCGAAAAAAATTTTCTCAAAAGAGATTAAGTTTATATAAACCTGTGTAACTACTAGTTTCAAAAAGTATTCACAATTTTTTCTTAAAAATGGAAGATTTCTTCATTTTGTAGTATCTCAAATGAGATGTGCAATTACTTTTTTTTTTTAAAAAACTTTTGGACATACTTGTCTAAGTTTTAAAAATAAAAATATATTATTTAAATGACTAACAAAGGTTTATGAAATTTATTGTTAAAAATTAAAAATAAAAGGAAATTTCTTATAATTTTAAATAAACTTAAAAAAGAATATAATTAACGTTTTATTTACTATTTTCACGTAATGTATTATGTATATTATTTGGCAATACACTATATACATATATATATTAGTATTTAATATAAATAACAATTGCATGCAGGGCTACTATAGTGTTTATGGAGGAGCGACCCAGTACCCACTGTATGGAACTGGACCAGGAGGCATGATGACCGGTGGTGCGGCGGCAGCCACCACCATGTACCCATATCTGCAGTTCGGAGAAGGGAGCGGCAGCGGTGTAACTGGCGGCTACACTTCCGGTCAGGGCTACGGTGTCTACTACCCACCGCAGCTCTTTCAGTACTCTCCCATTACTTCATCTGCTGGCTACGCTCAGCACTATGGTCCACCTATGTCTCTTGCGCCTTCGCCTGCTTTGCAATCAGGTTTGTACTCATGCTCACCACTTTGCTATATTAATTTCATTATAATCATAATAAGACATGTATTTTTAAGGACACATTAATCAACAGGGCATTATAGTATAGTTCACATGAATTTTGAATTAGGTACTCAGTTTTTTTTTTTTTTTGGAATCCTTATTGTTTGATCTGGTGGTTTTAATTTATAGACCTTAAAAAATTTAATAAAATTTATAGAGGAAATGGATGTGCATTAATTAAATCAGTGTGTTAAATATAATGGAAGAAATTCCATAAAATTTATGGAATTTATATATTAAAATTAATGGGTTTTACTTTCAAGGATGAATGCTAATAACATATCAGACTATAAGGACCCAATTCAAACAAAATAAATTATAGAGGCCTGATTCAAAATCAAGATAAAATATAAGAATATGTGGATTGATTTCCAAAATGAGGGTCATTTTCCCATCAAATTGTTTCAAGTATGAATTATAATGAGACACTGACTTCTTTGACAGTGTGTTTTGCTGTGCCGCAGGCGTGAAGATGGCTCTTCAAGCTCCCCCAATTCCTCATCGTTAGAGAGACTCATCATCATCAAAATATAATTTTCTCATCATCAGAAACTTCCCATCATCAGTTAATTGCTTCTTGAAGTTTCCATCATCAGAAAAACCTTTAGCCTAACCATGGTGCTTCCTCTTTCTCGCTCACGCACTCTTTCTTCACTAACACACCATAAAAAGTCCATCAATGGAATTCATGGGCTTTTTTTTCACACACCACAAACAGTTCTGGCTCCCCATAGGAGCTAAATCTGTAAGTTCGCTTCATTTTTGAAGAGTCTCATGCATTTGCATATCTTTTTCTCAGTTTAGGGTTCTTCAGGACAAGAACCCTGACATGTAAATTCATCATCATTGTCATCATCATCTTCACCAGCTCAGGCTATGTTGGAAATAGCCACGTTGGGAATAGAAATTAGGACAAAACTTGTTAGCCCTCAGGAAAGGGCTAACCAGTGAAAGTTTTTCAAGGAAAAAGGAATTGTAAATGATCAAGATCAGTAATCACAGAGAATCTCAATTTAGGACAGTTAAGAGAAAAAAAATAGTAAATTAATCCCTCCAAATATTGCTTAGATCTCACCCTCTTGGGACGAAGGGGAAGGTTTTAGCAATCATGGGCAACGGATGTCCAAAGTTTTTTGTATGGTAACATCTAGGGTTTAGGGTTAGGGTTAGGGTTTTTAATTAGTATAATATGGATTAATATTAGGTCTCAAGTCATGAAGATCATGTCTTTATAAATGCTTTACCAACTTTAAATTTTCAATTTTCACACGGTGGTAAAGGGTTTAACCAAACCAATAAGTCATCTTGTTTCTCATCCCTTTGGGTAAGGGAACTGGGAAAATATTAATCTCTTATCAGTACTAATTAACATTTGTTCAGTTTCTTTTGTAAAAATTCATTGTGCCTAAACTATGGGAGTTTAGGTCCAATTTTCACTAATCCTTAGGAGGGACAGTGTTTTTTAGGGTTTTTGGTAGTATATATCATCATCATCTTGAGAAAACAGCATCAATAATGGATGTTTGTTGATCTCAGAAGCACTTTGCATGAAACCCTAGGGAGGTATTTTGATTCCCTTTAGGGTTCTTCACTCACTCACTCACTGCTCACTCACTCACCAACCATGGTTAGGACTTAGGTTTATGTCATGTTCTGATCTCTCTCTCTCTCTCTTCCTCCACTCATCCCTCTCTCTATCACTTTCTGTTACTTTCACGTCATTAGAGATGGACCTCTTGATACTTCTTATTAATTATATGCTTAAGTCTATGATTTGGATTGTAATTAGGATTAATGTTATGGAGGAAGAGATTGTCAAGATGCATATTTCTCATCCATGCATTATGCGTGTTTTGGTTGAGAATATGGATTTAATTTGCTGCTACTTATTTTACTACATGTTTTTAATTTCAGACTATATCTATATCTCTTCATCATGCATGCTTTCTTCTTTCCAGCTAATTTCGTATTTGGATTAATTATTAGGAGCATGCATGTTTCGTCCATACCTTGTTATTTTGGTTTTTGGTTTTGAATCTTCATTCTAAGTTAAAAATTGTATAATTATCGAGGTGACATTTTTAAGATTGATATTATTTTGCATTCTACAAAAGAATCTAGAGCCAGTTTCAACCAATCTCTACCTAAAGAAGAAAAAAACAATAATCAAGTTGATTCTTGAAGCAAGGTTTCAACTACCTTCTTAGAGAGCGTTGGTTGGAATATTTCCTTTGCTTTCGCTTCAAGAAAAATAATTACTTTGCAACTACTATAAGATGTGTATATTTCCACATGATGAAATCGATATATCATTGTCTTCGATCAGTGTTATTTTGTTTATAGAAATTATGTAGTATATACAATATTTTTGGTAATTAGTATTACTAGTAACAAATAGTTAAATGATTGAGAGTGTTATATTTCTTACTTTGATGTTTGGGACAACAAAAATTATGAATTTATGTTTGATATACTACTTTTGACTCTTAATAAAAGAGTTAGTTAACTAATTTGAATATATAAAAAAATTAGTTAGGTTAGTTATTTGTAATAAATAGGTGTTATCTTCCCTAAAATACCCTTATTAATTATGTGTATTAGCTAGAACAACCTTTTGATAAAACTTTTAACATGTGCAACTACTACAATGATTATTTTAGGATAAATGGATAAATATGAGAGATTAAGTGGATTGGGGTCTTGTATTTGGAACCAAATTAAATGTCAAGCTAGCTCTTATATTAAAGATTAGATGTGGTATAACTTTTGTTCGAGTGTCACTTTTAATTCTCCTTTAGAGTACATGCACTACAAAAAAAAAAAAAAGAGACTTTTGGCGGCAACTTCAACTTTCAGTGGTGACATTAGAAAGTCGCCACTGAAAGTATGACTTTCGGTGGTGACAAAATGTCACCGTTGAAAGATGACTTTCAGTAGCGATTTTTTTAGTTGCTGCTGAAAGTCTCATTGGAAGTATCTTTCAGCAGTGACACAAAAAGTCACCATTGAATGAGAGACCTTCAGTGAGGACATTTTTCTGTCACTACTAAATGTCTTTAGAGGACATAAATTTAGCGATGACATTTTTTTTTCACCGCTAAGAAGCATACTTTCAACGATGACTTTCTAGGGTCGTCGCTAAAAGTTGACTTTTAGTAGTGACGATTAATGTCGCCACTGAAAGTCTTTAGGATCTTCATTTAGCCTCTTGATAGCAACTTTAGAAAGTCGTCATTGAAGGCCAGACTTTCAGTGGCAACTTTCTATCGTCATTGCTGAAAGTATAATATGACAATATATATTTTATTTTATGATAATAATTAGCAAATTCAATCCAACTCAACAACAAAAAGATTGGACATGAAAGAAGGTGGTCACGAGTTTGACCCTTGAAGAAGATACATTTAAGTTGAAAATATTTGGACGATGATATGGCGGCAAGGTGGTGACATGGCATGAGAGTGGTGACGTGGCGATGATGTGGTGACCACCCGGTGATGGCGTGGCACTGTTTGGTGGGGACATGGTGACCGGCGTGATGATATGGTATTGGTGTGAAGCCATTGTTTTTTAGCATGATAAAAAAGTTGCCACTGAAAGTTACTTACAATTTGTCTCTGCTAAAAGTACTTTTGGAGATGACCAAGATGTCGCCACTAAAAGTATCTTTTATCAATGATAAAAGTCACCACTGAAAACGTCTTTTAGTAGCAAATTTTTTTCTTGTCACTGAAACTTTTCAGCCATGGTCACTACGACAATGACTTTTCAGCAACAACATTTAGCAGCGACTTTTGTACTTCCAACCATGATTTTTTTTCGCCGCTGAAAGTTAATTTTTTTTGTAGCGATACTAGCTATTCACCTTGAGGGATGCTGTGGTTTATAATGCATTTGTTAAAAATAGAAATAGTGTTTTTGGGGGAACTATTATATTATCATCTCTTGATGATATTAAAAACGTAAATATTATTCTTTGTGAAAATTTTCATTCAAAATTACCCCCAAAATTTATCGTCTCTTGAGGAAGTCTATCAATTCTCTTACTTGGATGATATGCATGTGCCGTTCTACTTGTGTTACTCTCGGTTAAGGAGATTGGGGGGGGGGGGAGAAGGAAATTCTGGTGATGACTTACAAAGTGTGAGATTGAATGTCACAATTAATATGATGATCTTATCAGTAAGTAATACATAAATACTTTTGTAGGTATTTTCTGATTTCTCTGATACTAGAGGTATCTCACTCAATTTATCTAAGAATTGAAATTAGTAATGAGCATTGTTGTCAGAATTGTATTGGGCCGACCCAGTTTGATGGGTCCACCTAGAAACCATCCCTATGTCTAGTTTGAAACCCCCAAAAAGTGGTCAAAAAGTGACTGGTTAAAACTTGTCAGAAATATGTTTTAAAAAGACAATTAATAATCTTGTATTTTTATTTATCTTTTGGTTGGTTTTTCTTCGGTGCTATATATATATATATATATATATATTATTTATTGGTGGAAAATTAATAACCCAAAGCTATGTTGTCTTGTATTTTTATTTATCTTTGGTTGGTTTTTCTTCAGTGTTATATATATATGATTATTTATTGGTGGTTCTTGCTAATTATGGAACCTTGTGCTGATTTGATTGGACAATTAGTTTGGCACATTCGACAACTTCAGTGATTTGTAATAGGCAAGAAATATTTTTATTTTAACGTCACTGTGTGATTGACTATAAATTCAACATGCAAGCAGGACCATGATATAGACAAGTATTGCATAAGATAATATATTTTTGATTTTTCATAAATATTCTTTAAATTATATTAATTTAATTAAAATCAGTTTCACTCTACGAGTGAACCATTTAATCTTGAACTAGTTTTCTAGCTTATTCAACGCCATTTCTGAAATCATTGGTAATGAGACAGAGTTAGAACGAGTTTGGTCTCTTAAGCTTGATATTCATACTCCTAGAGAATAAAAAATGGAATAATTCAGATGTTCATCTCTCATGCAAATTCTTTTTGGCAAAAGTATGATAATAAAAGTAATTAGGTCAAGTGCAGCCAATAGAAGCGGTAAAAGCCGTTGGTTAATCTCAATGGTTTGATGTGATTGTTAGAGTAATTCGGTTCTTGGACCAAAAAAAAAAAAAGAGTAATTCAGTTCAAAGCGAGTTAAATAATTATTGGGCTTCTTGTCTGCCCCCCACACACGCAAAGCTTGATGATGAATTAGAGCTTAATTATTATTATTACCTAAAATTTTAAATATAAGATTTTATTTATAGTTCATAAACGATGTTTTATATTTAAGACCGGAGATAATATTATTATTATTTTTTATGTTGGTTCTCGAGCTCCTTCTCTTCGAGGCTTTTCTTCTTGCTCCATTAACTCGTAAGTTTTTTAGATTAAATTTTAAATGTTTAAATTTATTTACATACTTTTTAATATTTTAATTAAAGTATTTAAGTTTAAATTTTAAAAATTCAAATTTGATTTGATCAATAGAAGAGGATGAGTTGCCAACAATAAATTGTAGCTATTGAGTTATTGGGCCTTTTTTAAGTCTAGTCTAGACTAAATGGGGTTTGGGCTGGTCGAACTTCTAAGGTCTTATTTGGTATGAGGCGCTGAAGCGATTGGCACTAGCATTGGTACTGAGATTGCTTATTTTCTTATGTTTGGTATGAAGACTTCAGCAATCCTAGGACTACCTAGCTAATATCCCCTTTCATGAGATTGCCCAGTACCACCTCTCCATTAGAGTCAATGAAAAGGTTTAGATCTGGTGGTTACCTTGTTATTGACGAACATAAAGAGGAAGGAAGATGGATAATGCAATATAGGAATGAGGAAGGAGAACGACCATGGAAGTTGGTGGATGATTTGGGTCATAATGGAGGAAGAAGGATAACACTGATGGACTTCGGCTCTGTTAGCATCCGAGAAGAAAGAAAAGCTAGTGCTTTGGGGTTAGGGCTAAGGGTATTGTAGTTCTTTTGATAATCTATTGCTAATTATAAAATAAAATTAATAAAAATATTCCATCTAAATATGACTCCATACCCAACATAATTCCAAATTCTTATTCCCACTCCTATTTTCAATCACAACCCCATCTCAATTTTAATCCCTCAAAATGTAGACCTATGTAACAAACAGGGCCTTATTGCGTAGTGCCATCAACCCAAAAAAATATGTTGGTGGTAAGTGGGTTCATCAAACCATCCAAACAAAAGAATAATAATAAAAAAAAAGAGTGTTTTGTTTTTAATAAAAGCAAAATTATACAAAATCTTTCTAAAATTTAGGCCAGTTACATATAACCTCATGATATTTCAAAATTTAAAATTAACTTCCCTAATATTTTATTTATTTCTTTAGTTATGAATACATTGCCGCTAACTTACTGTTATTTTTTTAACAGAAATTGTCATGTTAGATCAATAAAAAAACACCTCACATCCTACATGGCATCCTATGTAACTAATAATTTTATAATAATTGTATTATTTTTACATAAGGATTAAATTGTTATTTTTTTAATTAAAAAACGCTGATCCTCCTTGTGTCTCCTTCCCATCTGCAAGACACCCTTTCAACTTTCAATTCTTAGAAAACCCCTCTTGCTGCAGATTATGAAATTGAAGAAAGCTCCTGACAAGTTCCAAAGCAGAAAGAAGGAGAAAAAGAAGAATATACTTCGGGAAGAAGAAGAGAATTGAGAGGAGAGAATTCATATATCACTCATTGCGTTTGCCAAAATGCAACCGAATCACACTATAAGTAACGTGCCTTCATAGCCACCATGCATTTGAAACAAAATTGTCTTTATTACTAAGTTTGAATGTTTAATATGAATGAATAATACAAATTCAAATTAATTTTAACTATATGAATAATGCTTGTTTTAGTTAAGTGGGTAGGTACTAACAGCCTGAGGTTATAAATGAGA